AAAGAGTTAGGGCAAATGAGTGTTCAGGTCAATCTGAAACAGCCTGACCACCAGGAAAAAAAGCTTGCCAGTCCTGATAGTTCAGCAGAATGAATATTCTGCCCCATGCTTAGAGTCAATTTTGCATTCTGACAGAGCAGCAAAGTGCAGAACTAATGGTTCTCCATCTCCAGCTATCCAAAAGCAAGGCCCATTATGCTTTGACATACCACCAATGAAATTTCAAAGCAGAAATCCAGTCTGAAGCCTTGCTTAAGAAGTTACAGCATTCACTACCAGGTGTGAACAGCTTAAAGGCCCATAACCTTGGCTGTAAGAGTCTACTAACAGGTGAGATAACACCTAACAGCTAACTTGTGCTGACATCACATCTTAATCCTAGTCTAGACAAGGCCGTAGAGATTTGCTCCCAGTCACAGCTGCAGTCAGGGGAGGTGACTACAGCTGCAAACCCTATTTCCTTTTTGATTTGGAAAATTTACACCAATTGAGGACTTCAGAAAGCAAAAGCCCCAGGAAGCAAAAGATCAGGAAGAGCCTCTGGCTGACTGAGTGCCCTGAAACTCTTTAAAACAGAGAAATTGGGCTAAGAAAAACGAAGATTTAATTCTGCAGTTTCAAAAGTGTCTTACCAGTCATTACCCATTACAGTGAAAACTCAGCCAAAATAGTTCGGTTAAAATACAGTGAAGTACCCCCACTTTGTAATGAGAAATTACACACTTGTTTAAGTTGTTATGCGATATTAAGGTGTATTGATTCATAAGAAAAAGTAAAGTTGAACTGGCCAAGCCTGCTCAGTGCCTTGTCAATAGCACAGCTTTAAGCTGTATAAAAGGAATGAGATGTGTTTCAAACTCTCAAAATTAGCGCTGGGTGGCTATAAATGCACTTAGCTAATTGGGGGGCAGTATCTTGTGTCTCCCTTGGACTGGGACTGAATGAACAGTACAACTGCCCCTGGAAGACAAACAACAGAAAAACAAGTAGGACTCATCTGAGAAAAGCTCCAAAACAGTTACCAGGCACTCATGCTCCACAGGGGAGAATGATTTTACCACTTTTTTCAAACTGAAACCATTTTTACACATTTGTTTACAAGGAGAGGGAAAGTTAACTGAGATGTCCAGAAACAGTTTTCCCTGCTGTTTCTGCACCCAAAGTGCTGCATAGGACTTGAGATGGTTCCTACTTAACAGTTGTGTGGTGGACAAACAGGCTGATGGGTCTGCAGATGAAATATGCTCACAAGAGTTGCTAGGTGTATCCATCAACCTCACCCCTTTTATGGTAGAGGTCCCGCCTGTATCACTGCACAGCAGTTGAGTTCTGCCTTACCCAGCACACATTGGAAGCTACTCTAGGCTCTGCGCTCAGGCCCTCAATCAGACACTGCAACAGTGGAGCGAGGTAAATGTCATTGATGGCAGCTTCAGGGAGCAGCTCACAGATCCTGCCCACAGTCCATGCAGTTGTATCTCGAACCACCACACTAGGGTCCTTCATTAGTTCTATTAAAGTTGGCATGGCCTAGAATAAAACCACAGTTAGCAAGTCACAATTGTATCCAATTCATGTACATGATGTCAGCAGCATGCAGCTGTTTAGGAATATACCCTATTAAGAGTTATTTAATGGATTAGTAATAGAATGGGTTTCATGGCTCAGAAACCAGATATCTGGATCTATCTAAATGGTCAGCTTTTTGAAAGACAACTTATAAAACTTCTCCTAGAGACAAGGCTAAAATACACTGAACCCTTGATGTTTCAATCCTCTCATCCATACTACGCAAGGCAAAAACAAACACACAAAGGATCAAGCATGGCTCTGTATACTGAGGACTAAATCATATGTCACCTCCTGTGTGATTACACGGCACTTAAGTAGGCCATTTCTTGCTACTTGTGCAATGTATAGCCTACTTCCACCTGTAACAGAACAAGATCACCCTTTGCACCCAGCTGCCAGAAATAAAACTGTGATGAAAGAGAACCATCTCACTTTCTTGCCTGATAGCTTAAGGCTCTGCCCAGAGATGGGAGACAGGTTCTAGGCTGGTCATGCTAAGAAGCTATTTGAACTTGCATGTCCTGCCTCCCAGTAAAGCACCAGGCAATAGGTTACACATTACCTATGGTACTCTCCAGTCTTCTCCTTGACACTGGCCCACTATACCTTGTGTTTGCTATTCATTAAATAAAAACAGCTTAACAGCATTAGGATAGTTTCTGCCCCATTGGGAGCTGGTATCCAGTCCAGAACCAGCACTCCTTCCCTTCCAGGGCAGTATCCCACCTCACTGAGCCATTCTCTCTTTGCCTCACTCTGTTGCTGACCCACATATTTTTGCTTCCTGGTTGCCCCGTGGGTCAGCTTCAAAGGGAGCTGGAGAGTGCTCTTGGGAAAGCCCACCCTATGGACTGGTGGTTTAGTCATTTTGCTAGAATGCAGGAGATGCAGGTTCAAGTCTACTATGGGTTCTGTCTAGCCCACGTCCTCAAAAGTCTTCCACTCCCAAGCAAGTACCTTAACTACTAGGCTACCAAGCTTAAAGATGAGAGCCTTCCTCCAGCCTTCCGGATCTACTAGTCATGGCTTTCCTGCAACTAACCTAACTGGCATCACATGAACACTTGAGCAATTCTACTTTGTCTGGGAGACTATCCAGCTATAGTACAGCCTCAGTAGGGAAGCAGAGGAGCAAGCACAGCTGTGCTGGATCCCAAACAGTGCACAAGAGATAAAAGCCGTAGTTACCTGGGTTACTTAGGTGCTACTTTAGGCACCTGATAGGGAAATGGGATCTATCTCCAAGTGCCTTCCACATGCTCTGTGCTACAGTGGTTGGCAACATTTTTCCAGCAGTGGCAACTCCCCTGCACTGTGCCAGATCCAATGGCTTTACAAGTCATATCCAGCCCAAAGGCCCTGTTATAGACATAGTGCTGCTCCAATGATAGTGAATGAAGAAGACTACAGTAATCTTGAAGCATATATGAAAATTTCTTCCCTATACAACATTTTAAAGAAACTGACAAAAGCCTTCTCAGCAACTTGCTTTGCATCCGAGTAAAATAGCCATAATCCAGACACACACAGAACCCAGGTCGCTGTTATAAAACTTTCTTCTTGTAAATCATATTTTAAATTAATTTGACTAGCAATGTGCTTTGGGCCAAAAAGGCCAATAACCTGGAAAACACACTTGGCATTACCTGTATAACTAGTGGTTTGAGCTGGTTGGGCTCTGGTCCTTCCAAAATACACCCAAAAGCCATGACAGCTGCATCTCTGTATCGCCAGTCTGGATTTTTAATGTGCTCTTTAATGAACGGCAGTACATGGGGAACAATGTCATCTTCGCAGCAGGTTGCCAGAAGCATTAGACAGACCCCTGCTGCTTTACAGGGGTTCCAGTCATCATCGTCGTCATTTTCATCCTGAGAAGAAAACAGCACCTGGGTCACCCTTGGCAAGAAAAAATACCCCTTACCAACCAGAAAGCTACTTCTACCACATACACATTAAGCTATCTAGCTGGATCTAAGGGGCAAGGAAAGTCGCTTCACAACCAAGTCCTACAGTCTTAAATGAGTTCAGACTACACTGAAGATCCAGTAGTTATTTGAAGTTTAAGTTCTTCTAGGCCTTGCTAACAACATCTGTGGGGGGAAGAAGCAGCCTGTCCTGCTCACAACATCCGTTTCCCTGTCTGAAGGGACAACTGTCAACTTAGCCTCTCAATTCACAGCCCTGCTCTCTCTTCCTGGGGTCTGAGATTTTAGGTCTCCTTTGATTTCAGGCTTTTCCTTGCGAAAGTAACCCAAACCTACCCTGTAAGTAACCAGTTAAGGGCATGGGCAAAGAAAAACTGGGAATGATTTCAAAAGAGGGTGAGCTGAAGCAGTTATTAAGCTCTATCACCTGTGCACTTGCCTGTGACAATACAAAGGTAGCAAAACTAATCATCCAAGGTTAAAGTTGGGGTGATTTAGCTTACTTGTTTTGCTACATGCTTGTGCACATGTTGCAGTTAGAGCTACTGCACATCTGCCCTTTTGCAGCCACTCAAAGGGTATGCATGTCCATACACAAGTCAAAATTCAGGAACCTACAACCTGCAGGCCAGAACCAGCCCACTAATTTTATTCAGCCCAAAAAGCCAGGACACTGGTGCCAATCCAGCAGCAGCAGCCCACCTTTGGACCAAAAACTCTGTTAATTCAGCCCACTGTTACCTTAACTGCCTTCATTCTCCGTACATGAAATTCATGCGTCACCATTTTACCATTCCT